GCCACCACATCTGGCTTAGTTTTATATTTCACCAAAGTTAATACAGTTTTACAAGTCAAACCCAATACTATAAGACTTGTAACAAAAAAGCAGTAATCGCCAACCTTATCCCTGATTTCTTTTTCCTAAAAGCAATCACGTTCAACTTTTATCTCTTTCTCCTAGTATTTATTTATTTCTAACAACATACTTATTCTGGCATTTTTTAATTTTGTTAATTTCAGTCACTTTTCATTATCTTTCATGATGAGGATTCACCCTTTTATACCAGTAAAATCACACAACACACAGCCATACAAAAGTACACACACCACCCTTCCACCAACATAATTAGATCACTATTTTTAGCTAAATTAATATTAGGATACATCCATATCATGGTCCTAGAATACACTGTAATCATCATTTGGGGATGTCTACTCACTTTTCTCTCCTATGTTGGATTCTCCTGTTTCCTAGATTCCATGCCTTACTTTTTTTTTTTTTTTTAATGAGACAGAGTCTCACTATGTCATCCTCGGTAGAATGCTGTGGCATCACAGCTCACAGCAACCTCAAACTCTTGGGCTTAAGTGATTCTCTTGCCTCAGCCTTCCAAGTAGCTGGGACTAGAGATGTCCACCTCAATGCCTGGCTATTTTTTGTTGTTGTTGTGGTTGTAGTTGTCATTGTTGTTTGGCAGGCCCGGGCTGGATTCAAACCTACCAGCCCTGGTGTACATGGCTGGCATCCTAACTGCTGAGCTACAGGCGCCAAGCCTGCTTTTTATTATTGAGTTTAATTTTTTTTTTGAGACAGAGTCTCACTATGTCATCCTTGGTAGAGTAGTGTAGCATCACAGCTCACAGTAACCTCTTGGGCTGAAGCAATTCTCCTGCCTTAGCCTCCCAAGTAGCTGGGAATACAAGCGCCCACCACAACAACACCTGGCTATTTTTTTTTTGTTATAGTTGTCATTGTTGTTTGACAGGCCTGGGCTGGATTCAAACCCGCCAGCTCCAGTGTATGTGGCTGGTACCTGCCAAGCCTGAGTTTGTTTTAAGCTAATAAATTATTTAGGCAATTCAAAAAACAATTTTGAAGAAAAATAAGTAAATTGACTTAAAATCCTTGCAGTATTTCAGAATTTTTAATAGAATAGTCATATGGAGGGCAATGCATTCAGAAGATAATATATTTCTATTTAATGGATAGGAGTGTCCAGGGGAAAAGCTCAACCTATGAATGATAATTAGGAAGATGATAACTCTTGTTTGTTTTTGAGACAAAGTCTCAGTGTCCTGGAGTTGAGTGCCATAGCTCACAGCAACCTCGAACTCCTGGGCTCAAGCAATCCTCTTGCCTTAGTCTCCCAAGTAGCTGGGACTACAGGTGCCTGCCACAGTGCAGACAATTGTTTTTTTAGAGACAGGGTCTTGCTGTTGCTCAGGCTGATCTTGAACTTGTGAGCTCAAGCAATCCGCCTGCCTCAGCCTCCCAGAGTACTAGAATTACAGGCTTGGGCCACTGCACCAGCATTTTTTTTTTTGAGACAGAATCTCTCACTCTGTTGTCCAGACTAGAATATATAGGGCCATTCTCATAGCTCAATGCAACTCAAACTCCTGGGCTCAAGAAATCCCCCCACCTTGACATCCCAAATTGCCAGGATTACAGGCATGAGCTACTGTACTTGGTCTGCAGAAGAACAACTATTTTTTTTTTTTTTTTTTTGGAGACAGAGTCTCAAGTTTTCTCCCTGGGTAGAACTCACAGCAACCTCCAGTTTTGGAGCTTAGGCGATTCTCTTGCCTTAGCCACACGAGCAGCTAGGACCACAGGCGCCCACCACCTGCAGTTTGGCCAGGGCCAAGTTCAAACCCGCCACCCTCAGTATATGGAGTCAGCGCCCTACTCACTGAGCCACAGGCACCACCCATGCCTTCCTTTTTCTTTTCTACCTCATTTTGGCAGATGAAACCACCAAGTTTTCTAACATAGTATACGTGGGAGATAACTCTTTTGACATACCACATATTTTTTTTCCTCCACTCTCATATTTGATTGTTAGCTTTAACTGGGTATAGAATTATTGCTTGGACATAACTTCCTCTCAGAATATAAGGCAATTCCTCCACATTCTTCTAACTTCCAAAATTGCTTTTGGGAAGTCTAATGCTTTTGTAACCGACTTCGTAATTCTCTCTGGAAGCTTTTATGATATTTTCTTTCTACTTAGTGTTCTGAAGTTTTAGGGTGATGCATTTCTTTTTTCATTCAGAATACCCAGCAAATGATAGGGGTTTTGATCTAAATCCCCATCTACTTAAGTACTAGGAAATGACATTATTTCTTTGATGAGTTCCTTCATTCCACAAGCTAACTTCTGACTGTTAAGAGATCCAAAAACCTGAAGGGAAAAAACCGGAGTGAAGGAAACCATCTAAAAATAATTAAATTAATCCTCTTACATTTAAATAATTCTTAAATTTAAATAAATCTTAAATTAATCCTCTAATTTGTTTCTTCCCTTTCCTACTTTCTACTTCCTTGTTCTCATTCCTTTTTTAGCTATGGCTATTTTCTTTATAGTACCATTCTACTTTATTTCTTATTCTCTGGCTGTTTCTTTTTTTTTTTTCTTTTAAATAGGATCCTCTTTTTATTTCACCGAGGCAACATCTTCTCTGATCTGTGTCTTTTTGCAAATTTTCTTTTGCTCTCTAAGTTGTTTCTCTTATGCTCACACATTCTCCCTATCTCTACCTCACTCTTCCCCCCTTCTCTCTCTATTCACTCTCTTTTGGGGGGGCGATCCTTTTGTCTGTTTTAGTTTCAATTATTAGTGTTAGAGGTTTTCTCAAGTATCAGGTAATCTTTGCCTATTCTTTCATACTTAAGAGTAAAGCACAGACACTGGTATCAGCAGTAAGGCATTTTAACTGCTAGGCTTCACCGAAGCAAGAGAAAATGTCATGGCAATTTTTTTTTTTTTTTAATGGAAGAGGCCTCAAATCTCTGTGAGTCAGTTTTTCAGAGAAAATTCTTTCAATCTCCTACCTGAGGAGAATAAGCCTGCCTATATCTAGGAGCTAAGAATAGGAAAGAGACCATCACTTAATCCCTGATTTAACAATATCTCTCTGAATGAATGTTCTCAGTGAAGTCTGGTGTCCCAAGGTCTAGGGCCTCCTTGATTTTATTTCTCCAGAGAGCAGACCTCCAATGTTCTGCTGAAATAGAGAAAAGGATCTAGGAGTTTTACTGTTTCTTATATAACCTTTGAGCTAATCCTGTTTTCAGCTCCACCTCTCATCCTAACATTCAAGATATCAAGAATCCTCAATAGCTATTCTAGAATCTGTACCACAAAATGCCTTCACATTTACATCCCTCTGCAGCCTCAATTTCTACTGTCTATAATCTGTTAAATCATTCACTATTTGTGCCTCTTTTCCATATTCCAAAATGTTGTTCTCTCTCCTTTACTATTACCTCCTCTCCCAAACTCTTAACCATCATGAGTTAATACCAGCTTTGTTCCATTTCAAAGACATTTTTAAAAGGATTTAGGATGTATATGTTCAATTGATCCGACTTTAATTATAAGTCCTCCAATGAAGTTCTTGACAAGACAAAAGATATAAAGAATAAGAAAATTTGGAAAACTAAGAAGATAAATATTAAGTGGTAGTGTTAACAGTGGTTAACAGTGGTATATACTTTTTAATAGTTATCCCTGTATTAAAGGACGATTTTCTTTGGTGCTCTAGGGAAGTGCCAGGTTTCATAAATAAAACATCAAGAATATTTGTAGCATGTATATCAAAAGATTACTATCCATAACATACAAAGGATCTCCACCCAAAAATGATAAGAGAAAAACAACCCAGAATAAAATGTACAATAAATGAGGTCGGGTACGGTGGCTCATGCCTGTAATCCTAGCACTCTGGGAGGCTGAGGTGGATGGATGCTTGAGCTCATAAGCAAGACCCCATCTTTACTAAAAATAGAAAAATTAGCTGGATATGGTGGTGGACATTTATAGTCCCAACTACTCAGGAGGCTGAGGCAAAAGGATCTCTTGAGCCCAAAAGTTTGAGGTGGCTGTGAGCTGTGATGCCATTGCACTCTATCCATGGTGAGACTGTCTCAAAAAAAAAAACAAAAGTATAATAAATGACACAAAATTCAAAGAACTATACATGGCAAATAAACATTAAAAGAATTTAACTTGAGAGAGCAGAGAGAGGGAAGAAGGGAGGGTGGTGGGAGGTCACAAAAAAAAAATTAAAATAATGGAATGGAAAGGAATGCAAAGAGATCAAGCAGAGTGCAGTGAGACTGAATGGAATGGAGTGGAGTGGAGTGAGTGAATAGGAAGGCACAATAGAATGGGGAGGAATGGAGTGAAGTGAAATAAAACTAAATGGAATAGGAAAAAAGAATAATAATAATTTAACTTTAGGCCAGATGCAGTGGTAACTCATGCTTGTAATCCTAGCACTCTGTGAAGCCAAGGCACGTGGACTGCTTGAGCTTAGGAGTTCAAGATCAGCCTGAGCCAGAGTGAGATCCTGCGCCTTGCATTGTGGGCAGGCACCTATAGTCCCAGCCACTCAGGAGGCTGAGGCAAGAGAATCACTTGAGCCCAAGAGTCTGAGGTTGCTGTGAGCTATGACGCCACAACTTCTACCAAGGGTGACAAAGTGAGACTCTGTCTCAATAAAAAAAGGAATTTAATTTCACTAGTAATTAGGTAGATAAAAATTAAAACAATGAGATACTTTCCTCTCATCAGATTGGCAAAAATTGTACAGAGTGATAATATCCCCAGTTGGTAAAATTCACAAAATTTGACAATATTCCCAGTGATAATCAGAAACCTAAAAATAAAGGGAGTTCTTATTCCTAAATTCTCACTCTAATACTACTTTCAACTTATGAGGTGACTCTGAGCAAGTCACCTTCCCTCTCTGGGCCTCACCTTCCTCATCAGTTAAAGACAAAAACAAAAATCATTAAGAGCATCTAATCTTCCCCACTGTAAAGCCAGATCAATAGCACTACTGGCCTCACCTCTGTTTCTGCTGCTGCCCCCAGTTCCTGGCAGCAGCCTTCAGGGAGGCCTATAGGTAGGAAAAAAAAAAAAAAAAAGAGCATCTAACTTGCTTATCTCACATAAATATGGTGAAGAAAAAAAAAAAAATGCAACACTGGCCATAAATGGACTTTATGTACTTTACAACACAATAAAATCCTATAGCATTTATGAGAAGGAAAACCACTAAGTAGTCACAAAAAAATACAGGTAGTATGTTTAAACTATTTATTGTTGGCTAAACATCTTATGAAATAAACAGCTAATTTTCCCAAGAACTACACAAGAAGAGAATTAAAAGGAAGAAATCTAGGCTCATATATTTTCACCATAAGACTTTAAACAAGTCCTTTAACCTCTCTGTATTTCAGCTTTTAAAGACCTCTAAGGATTCTCTAACTGTGAAGAAAAAAAAAAAGAAGATCCTTGAACTGAAAGAGTTGGAAGTCAAACCTGCCAGAGTCCCTGGCCTGAAGAGACTAAGATCATAGGTCAGCTGTGCAGAGACATCCAGTTTACTGATCCACAAACATTTTTTATTGGTCAGCCCTCCTTTTTGGTTTGTACCAAAGAAATAGCAAAATAGCATGATCACACCTCCTTAACAGCCTATTACAAACACTCCTTAGTCTTGTGTGCAGACTAGACCCAGAAATACAAAATACTGGAAGTTGTGAACCACAACTCAGCCTTTGTACTCTTTCTTTATTTATGGTGAGCAACTTGGAACAGTAGAAACAGGACTACAACTTAGGAATTAAACTCACAGGGGAAACAACTCCATAGGTCTGCCTAGATACATGACTACCTCAAATTGTCCTTTAAGGAAATGAAAAAAAGTCCCACTGGCAGAATTAACAAGTATAACCCGTAAGAAATATCTACTCTCTTTTATCTTTTTTTTTTTTTTTGGATCTCCTAAAAACAAGGGGTCATAATCACTTACTGAGCACTTAGTATTTGCAAATCCTATGAACCAGACATGTCATGAGATACTGTTACTTACAGAGGCCAATTATTTTTTTTTTTTTGAAACAGAGTCTTACTATGTCGCCCTCAGTAGAGTGCTGTTGTATCACAGCTCAAACTCTTGGGCTTATGCAATGCTCTTGCTTCAGCCTCCCCAGTAGCTGGAACTACAGGTGCCCGCTACAACATCCAGCTATTTTTTTGTTGTAATTGTCACGTTAGCAGGCCTGGACCTGGTTCAAACCAGCCCCGGTGTATGTAGGCCTATTTATTTCTCAAACCAAACCCACTGTTGAGGAATGACTGCTTCCATTTTGCAGATATAAGACATAGATATATAGGTCATTAAATACAAAATGTCTGATTTTGAATCAAAAGTTTATAATATCTAAAACAAGAAGTAGTACAATTAATCAAAGTATGTACCTACATTATTGACACAGTTTTACCATCTTAATGATAGCTTATTTATGCCAGCAAGGAAGAAGCCTGGAGAGCAAATAGTGATGACATTGCAAAAGGCATTTTCCACAGCTTATGGAGAACTGAATATTTTTCCTCGCAAGAAGTGGTCCAAAGCCTGGAAGAAGTGGTAGTTAGTGCAAGGTCTGGTGAATACTGTGGATGATATGGGGTTTCCAAGTCCAGATTATGTAGTTTGAGCAGCACTGTTTGTATGACATGTGGTTAAGTATTGTCTTGCAAGAGAATTGATCTGTGTCTATTGAACAGTCTTGGCTGTTTAATCACAGCATCTTCATCATGTTGTCCAACTGTTTGCAACAGACATCACTGTAATCAACTGACCAGGTTTCATGAAGCTGCAGTAATAACACCAACACTGGTCCGGCAAACAGACATGAAAGCTTTTTTTCATGAATATTGGTTTGGGACTGTGTTTTGGCAATTCGTCTTTATCCAACTATTGTGCCAAACACTTGCAACTGTCAAAAAGAGTCCATTTTTCATCTCGCATAACAATATGGTATAAAAATGGTTTGCCTTTATGTCATGACAGCAAAGAAAGGCAAGGTTCAAGATCATTTCTCTTCTATTGCTCATTTAATTCATGCAAAATCCATCTACCCAGCTTCTTTATCTTGCCAATTTGTTTCACATGGTCCAATATTGTTAGAATAATAATGCCAAACAGTGCCGCTAATTACAAGTAGGTTGAGATGGATTCACTGCCACTACCGCTTTCGGCTCATCATTACCCTGGTGTCAGGTCATCCATGTGGCTCATTTTCAAGATTAAAATCACCAAAATGGAACTCATCAGACCATCAATGTACTGTGCATTACGTCTTTCCCAAACACTTCATTGATATTTCTAGCTGTCTGCACTACATCGGTTCCACGATGGAACTCATATTCAACAATGACACAAATTTTTGGCTTATCCATGATTTCACAAAAAAAAAAAGATGGCTTGGAGCCTGTAGCTCAGCAGGTAGGGCACCAGCCACATACACCAGAGCTGTGGGTTCAAACCCAGCCCAGGCCTGCCAAACAATGACAACTACAACCAAAAAATAGCCAGTTGCTGAGGTGGGCACCTGTAGTCCCAGCTACTTGGGAGGCTGAGGCAAGAGAATTGCTTAAGCCCAAATGTTGGAGGTTGCTATGAGCTGTGACGCCATAGCACTCTACCAAGGGCGACATATAAAACTCTGTCTTAAAAAAAAAAGAAAAAACTGAAAGATAATCACAAGCCAAAATGTACATTTAAAATAATGAGGATATACCTTCACAATAAAAATTAAATAAGTGTCAAAGTGAAATGTCAGAGATATCAACGGTCAAACTTAGTACTTAAGGAAATCAGACATTTCATCCTTCATAATCTATAAATTCTAAGAAATTAACAGTCTTATCCAAAATCATGGATCACTACTGTTATAATTATTTATCATTATTCTCATTTTAATGATGAGGAAACTATTATTACATAGCAGAATAGGGTTTTGCCATTTCTACTATTAAAGCCCATACTAATTCCATTATCTCACCTTTGCAGTTCTATGCTAAACCACAAAATGAAAGTAAGATTTCAACTCCAATGAGTACAGAGTTAAAAATAAATAACATGCAATGGTATGGCCCTTCAAGCAATAAGACTGGGGTCTCCAACTGTCTGGATGGTGACCTAAGAGAGCAGTAATTAACTCCCAACCCTGAATTAATTACTTAAACGCTTTACATGTGTTGTCCCAGAAGCAACAATCCTGCCTCATCAATTTTGCCTCCTAAAAATAATTAAGTTGTCTATCTAGCTTCATGTCACAGAAAGAAACCTGTAGGTGCAATAATAGATAAAATTAATGTTGCAGGGAATACATTAGAATTCTTTTTTTTTTTTTTAAGACAGAGCCTCAAGCTGTCCCCCTGGGTAGAGTGCCGTGGCATTACAGCTCACAGCAACCTCCAACTCCTGGGCTCAAGCGAGTTTCCTGCCTCCGCCTCCCAAGTAGCTGGGACCACAGGCGCCCACCACAACGCCCGGCTATATTTTGGTTGCAGCCGTCATTGTTGTTTTCGCAGGTCCGGGCTGGGGATTTGAACCCGCCACCTTAGGTGTACGTGGCTGGCGCCTTAGCCGGTTGAGCTATAGGCGCCGAGCTAGAATTCTTTTTTTTTTTTTTAATGACAGTCTCACTGTGGCGTCATAGCTCACAGCAACCTCAAACACTTGGGCTCAAGCAAGTCTCTTGGCTCAGCCTCCTGAGCGGGAACTATAGGCACCCACCACAACGCCTGTCTATTTTTAGAGCCAGGGTGTCATTCTTACTCAGGCTGATCTCGAACCTGTCAGCTCAGGCAATCCACTCGCCTCTGGCCTCCCAGCATACTAGGATTATAGGCATGAGCCACCCTGCCCTGCCTACATTAGAATTCTCTTGTGAGTTGCTAGTGTGGTACTTAAAAAAAGAATACCTAGCTACTGAGTAGTAACTGCTTCACAAATTTAGATGTCTGAAGCTCAGGCTCAAACTGGCTTATTTAAAAGGCCAATCATTAGCAAACACTATCACTGCATCTTGCAAGTGCTGCTATTTTGCTCTGTTGCTTGCTCATCCCCAAATAACCAGAAAGAGAAATCAATTCCATAGATTTCTACTGCCATCATCTAGCAAAAACTCTGTGTGTCACTGTATAAGCTCGAAGAAAGGGAAAGAGTGTTGCCCTGCTCAACTTTTAGAACAGCCAAACCTGAGTCCATGTCCTAGCTTTACCACTTACTAGCTATATAACTTTAGTCAAGCCTCTCAACCTTTCTGAGCATCAGTTTCTCCATTTGTAAAACAGGGGTAAAACAATGGGCTGTGGGGATGAAATTATTAGAACTAATTGTACATGACACATAATGTTAGTCTCCTTGCCCTTCTGAAGAACACATTCACGTGTGAAGTACCTACCCTACATTTCAGTTGTTACCCTTTAGGAAAGAGGATACATTTAATTTCATAAACTATATGAATACCAACAGTAGAATCTTCTCTTCATTCTCACTCTAGCATCTAACACAAGCTACGGGCATGACAGGCACAAGACAAATGACATTGGATAAGGCTCTAACTTACGGAATAACTCACCTGCTAGGGAGGATGCCTAGTCTAGGCCCAATCGATTCCAAGAATAATCAAAATTAAGCCAATATAGGAAAAAACCTAACTTTCCCTATCTTAGAGAGATATTTCTGCATTCAAATAGTATTTACTGAGCAATGCAAATATAAATCAGCCACTACAAAGCTCATGGTACAATAAGAGACCCGTATCAAAACAGAAAAATGCAATAGAGAAGTTATTAATTTATTGGCTTACAGTTCCAACTCAATTCCTCATTGCTCTGCTTTCTGATACCAGGCTAGACTACACTTCTCCTTTCCCAGCTGAGTGCCTATTATCTTTTCCCAATAGAGGGTGTTGGAAGGAGACTACAAAACTGGGGGAAAAGAAAGGACTTTTTTCAGTGTTTAGTTTTTTACAAGGGAGCAAACAGAATTGTTCTACTGGATTAACTAGATAACAGCCTTTAAGTGTAAGAATGAACGGATCTTGGAGCCCT